TATATATATACCTCGCCGGGTGTTACGTTAGCCGGCTGAGTACCGTTAGGGTCGTGGGCGAAGGAGTCGTCCCCAGTCGGTGATGTATTTAACCAAGTAAGGTTATATCTAAATCTAATATACTTCTGGAAGCGAAGACTCGCTCGGGGTCCGGGTGGCGTAACTGGCAAGCGCACCGCACGGCAAGCGGAGGTTGCGGGTTCAAGCCCCGTCCCGGGCCAGTTCTTTTATTCCAGAATGTTCTAAATTTATTTATTTAATTATTAATTTAATTAAGAGATGGCGCCTAACGCCTACCTCTAATTGTCAAATTACTTAGTTCCAATCATTTAAAATAGCCATATTATAGCCCGATAATTAGGCGATCGTTTGGTGTTGTTATTATCTACTCGGGCTGTGAGTTGATGTTTATATATATATATACCTCGCCGGGTGTTACGTTAGCCGGCTGAGTACCGTTAGGGTCGTGGGCGAAGGAGTCGTCCCCAGTCGGTGATGTATTTAACCAAGTAAGGTTATATCTAATTTAATATACTTCTGGAAGCAAACACTTGCTCGGGGTCCGGGTGGCGTAACTGGCAAGCAGAGATTGTGGGTTCAAGCCCTGTCCCAGGCCAGTTCTTTTATTCCAGAAGGTTCTAAATTTATTTAATAATTTATTTATTTATTTATAATTATTAATTTACTTAAGAGATGGCGCCTAACCCCTACCTCTAGTGTCAAATTACTTTATACTAATCATTTAATTAGCCATATTATAGCCTGATATTAAGGTGATTGTTTTGTGGTTTAATCTATAGTTCTCGGGCTTTGAGTTGTTGTTATTTATGTAATAATTAACTTTACATAATTAGTTATTATATATATTAAATGAAGAAACTAAAGTTGACCCAATTTTTTAGGTGAATTAGCTGATCCTTACATACCTCCTGAAGGTGATGGGAAAGTATCTATTGTTTCAAAAGAGGTATGTTTTGTGAATTAATTTAATGAAAATATTTCTAGTGATAAAATAAAAATGCTAACCACTTAATACAAAATAAACATCAATAATAATAGTATTAACATTTTTATCTTGTATTTATTGGAGATATTAATTTAACTGGAAAATTTAAAAAAATTGCCAACCATTTCACCAATTTATAATTTTTTTTTTGGCCACTTCAAATTAATAAGTAAAACAAATAATTTGTTGCTCAAATTATTTGTTTTACTTATTAATTAATGCATGTGCTGGTAGTCTTATTGGTTTGGAGTCTGGAAAGTTGTCACTTAGAAATAGGGATCACTTTTGAATAATTTTTTAATGAATAATTCCAAATAACACATTTTGATTTCAATGCTTAAACTGTATTTCACATGTTCTGTCATGTCAAAATTTTTATATTTTAGTCTACCATAAAAAGATCAAAGTAAAAAAGTCACACCAAAAAATTATCAAAAATTTTCTGTCAGTTGATAAAAAATCCCCAATCTGGAAACATGATCAGCATTGTATGAAAACTGCCTTCCATTCTCAACATCACTTGCTGCATGACATCACTAGTTGTGTGGTGCAAAGGAGCTCAACATTCTGCTGTTTTTCCTGAAGTGTGCTTTGTGATTCAGTTTCATGTTGGATGTCGAAATATTTTATTGCCAAAATTTTCAAACTGAAGATAATATTTATTTGCAAGACAGGAGAGTCCCCATGCAGGAGAGCTCCCTTTCAGGAACCTTGTGCAAACTTGTTAGTCAATTTGAAAATGAAAACCTTCCAGTTTTTGAACACACCATCAGTTTATATTCGAGGTATGTTAATGACATATTAATAGTGTGGAAAAGTAAACAAAACATGCACCCTTTCCTCAGTACTGTCAACAACAACACCTGTGAGTTGCACGAGTGGCTTTTCATGGATTACTGGAATAATAATACTAAGATATATATTAAACTTAGCAAAATTAGAGGAGTCATCTCTGGAAGTTCCCTTGTGAGTTGTGTATCATAAAAGAGTTCTATTTCCAGAAAGCTAAAAAAGAAAATTATAAAATCTCATTGTTATTCTTGTATTAAAGTGAGAAGATTTACTTTGTACAGTGAATATGCTACCATGCATAAAACATTAATTCATGGTTTAACATTTAAATAAACAGAAAACAGATGAGAAAGGTTTATTTTCAGAAATGATTTTGATGATACTATAATCAAAACTGATGGAAAGCACCACTATACAATAGTTCAAAAGTTTTGATTGTTGACTGTTGTATGAAAGTATGAATCTGATGTACAAAAAGTAATTTAGGGGTATCAAAGTATTATATACATAAGAGTGAGTTATCTGAAAGTGGAAAACTTCCATACTCTAATTCATCATTCTTTTTACATGGTTAGAGTTTAGTACACTATGAAAATTTAATACATCAGATTTATAAACACTGGTATATAAATTCATTGCATGGCTGCCTAATTTACATTTACATGACATGAAGTGACAGTTGAAATGATTATACAAAATATATTTTTCATCCCAACATCTTGACAGATACAGGAAATCCTCATTAGTTCAAAATTCAAGGGACAAAATAATTGCAAATTTGAATTATCTGAGATTTACATATATCTGTACAATATGACAAATGCCATGCAACTGATGTAATTTATTAAGCAAATGGAATATGGTTATGTATACAGAATGCTATTTTTGTTCATTAATAATTAATAATAATAATAATAATAATATAAATATGAAAGTAAACAGCACATGTCTGGTGAGAACCTCACAGATTGCCAAATAGGTTTTATAAAAAGTAAAGCAAAATTTCTCAAAATGTAGCTCAAATTAATTTTAAAGTGGCTTTTGAGCCACTTTAAAAATAATTTGTAGTAAGTAGTAAGTCACCTGAATGTAATAGCCTAGACTCCTACAAATATTTCAATCTGCTACTTGTAGCTCAATCCTGAAAACCAGCCATATTTTATGAGATAAGAGAAAAAAAGGGTAGTCTATGGGTAAGATGGCACCCGAAAATGTATTACTGTAAAAACAAAGCCATATTGACCCGATTACAGTTATTCTTGGTCTGTTGTTCTCTTATAGCATGGAGGGACTTTAAATGAACCAGTTAACACACACATATCACAGTTCAGACAGAATTTTCACTTGGAATTTTGAAGTAGTCATAATTTAAACTAATTGAACTCCTTAATATGTAAACCTCTATATCTCCGGCCGAGACAAAAGCACAATTACAAATTAAAGAGATTTTGAACTATCTGAGTTCAAATTAATGAGGATTTCCTGTATAATTTAGTAAATGATTTATAATTTCAAAATAATTATTCTATCTATTAACTCCAGTAATTGGACAAGCACAAAAATGCTATATTAAAAAATCAAACTTCAGTTTTTAAATGTAATGAAAAATTTAAGTGTAATGAGAACAAATGTTTTCAATAATCTTAAATTACCATTGTCAGGTTATATTCAAAAATGGTACATTCTACCAAAATATAAACTTTTTAAATTTTACAGCTGTCTTCTCTTAATTGGATGGAATTTATGGCTACATTGTCCTCTTTGGCTTAAAATTGATGGAAAGCCTGTAAAATCCTTTAAAGCCTTCCATGTTTGTGCCAGCATTTTATTGTCTTTATAATTGATTATGATGTCTTTCTTTGCAGGCCCTATAGATTTCTAGCTTTTCTAGGTTTCATACATCAACTCACTGTTTTAAACAATGTATTAGAGAGGATTGGTCAAAAAGATGATGTACACCATCATCCGATGCAAACACTGATAATGTTGTAGATGTTTGTTCTTTTTAATGGAATATTGGTGTTCCTTTGTGTTTATTTAAATACCTCGTGATAGCTCCAACATAACATAGGTTTTGGCATGTTCTATCATCCATTATAGGTATCAAATAAATTGCCGGAAGGTTGTACTTGTTAATTGCATCTTTCTCATTTTTGAGGAGGTTCTAAACTGTTGGACTTNTATTTATTTCAATAAAGATAAAGATACTCACTTTGATATCACAGGATCATAAAGCAAGGCATACCATCGTTCTTGAACTTCTTGAAGGGTAAATTTACATGAGAATTTAACACCCCGATATACAGATTCTAGATCATTTATCTATAATCATAAAATTTTTACAATAATTAGAACTAAATAGTTTTTCTTTCCAATATTAAATTTTGATAACATTTTACCTGTTGTACTGCAAAAATCAGGGCAAGATCATCTGCAGGTTTCCATCGGCCTAAATCTTTCGTGACTACTGACTGTGAATTCTGAAGTTGAATAATAATTTTAGTTTATAACAAAATTAATTATATATCAGAATATGTAAAAAATTTTAAGTTTTTAATAGAAAATTCAATTATAAATTATTTTCCTTCTTGCTTATTTTATATTCCTAATGATATTTAGAAAATTTGAAATTTAAAAATCTAAAATAAAGATATTCAAACTAATTTTGTATTCTTAGCTAATATATTCTAAAGCCTAAGTATTTTACACTTCTCAAAACTACTTATTAAACCTATCCCATGTTGAAATTTTTCTCCATTGTGTCTGGCTGCCATGTTGAATTTTTGTTGATGTTAAGCCTAATGAAAATTTTATGTTTTAAAAAAATAATCGTGGCTATTGTATTGTCTGAAATTATTTTTTGTTTTGCACAAACAAAACAGATATATTAATAAATGTAAAAACAAAAAAATTATATTTCGGAAGTTAATTTTAATATAAAAATTATGCCAACTAACGACATTTAGTGTCAAAAACGTCCTGAGGCAGAAATGAGATATCTCGGGTTCACAGGTCAAAGTCATCATGTTTCTACCTGAGATATGTCAGGAATACCAAGGTATAGGTTAAAAGCCAAATGAATATTGTTGTCTCTGGCACTTTCCTTGAAGTTGCGTAAAATGAAAGAGTTATAAGTCACTTTTTTAAAATTAGATGCATTTGTTGTTTTAGTCCTGGACTGATGTAAGAACTTTTTAATTAGGCTCTTGATGGCCCATTGATTGTTTCCATACTCTGCTTTGGTAGTGTAGCTTAATTTCTGTTTTCTACTGTTAAGGTCTGAAGAGTGCATAAAAGTTCTCTTAACCAGTGCTCTGATCCCAGGTATTTTAAGAGAGTACAGGTTGTGCAAAATGAGCTGGAATAAATATACAATTGTATGTTGGTTTATGATGAACTAATGTGAAGACATGTTGGCCTTCGATAATGATGTCAACATCTAAAAAATGTATGCTGGATGGGTGTTCCTATTATAGGTGTAGACTGAGATCAGACCAGCATTTATGAGAAAAATGAGTTTAACGTTTTCTGTGTTCAGTATGAATTGTGTTATAGCAATGAAATGTCAGCAGCGGCTTATTTGAGTGCTCGGTTACTATACCTTGTTTTGCATGTTCAAATCTTGATTTTTCAAATGTTTTTCTAATTTGCATTGAAGTGAATTATTGTGCAACATATTTTTAAAAATTTTTATCAAAGAAACATTAATATTTTGTATTTAAAACATTTATTTACTATGCAATTAAGAGATTTCAAATTATTTCCCTGTTTGCCACAATTTTTATTTTACATATTGTATACACATTTTACATTCTATACATTTGATATCTGTTGCTGCAACAGATGTTGAGTATATAGAAAGTTTCCTTCTTGTCTAGTCTTGACTTATTCATCAGCAACACAAGTGAGTTGAGTCACATGATATCAAGTCATGTAATATGAATTCATTTGGCAATTATCACCTTTACAAGAAGACAAGCTTATATCATGTGACTCACTCAACCCACTTAGCTATCAACACTTTGTTGATGCAACGTGGTAGATAAGGTACACTGAAAATTTAAACTCATTTTTCTCTTGAATGCTTGAGAGTTGTATTGAGTGATTTTACCATGAATTGCTAGGAAGATAGAACTAAAATGTATATCAAACATGACAAAATTAAAATGGTTCAATCAGATCAACTAAAGAAATCACTGAAAGAAAATTTTAAGAACTTATTATTAATTGTGTGATGAATCTTTATTTTTTGTTTTGTTGATACTAAATGGTAAATAAAGTCAAACTTTCCTAGTTTAGAATGTCCTTTAGATTAACAATTAAAATCTAAAATATTCTTGTGTGAGTACCTGTATTTCAAAACCATTTCTCCAAAAATTGAAAATCATTTAAAGTGGATGATCTGTTAACAAACAAATTGGATAACGAACACTTTCATGAAAGATCTTTATGTTTGTATCAATACAATGAACATGTCAGAACAAACACAAGAAGAAGCGACATAATGAATACTGATTAGTCTTCCCTTATCTTCAGGCAACAATTCGAAACTTTTTGGAGTGCAGGAGACGTCGACATCAACGCTCAGCCCGGTATACACTGATCAGATAGTATTCCTCCGAACTTTGAAACTCTCCCCTGTAATTCCAGCCTTTTATTTTTCTGACAGAAACAATTCTTTTATAGTATTTGCAAGACTGTCAGGCAGGCACTAGTTAAGTTTTGCGTTGGTTTTTATTTTCTAAAGGTGAGAGTATAATAGCAAAGGTAGAGAGAGAGTGGGCAGATGTCTGATGTTGGTGGGCAGTATGGATTAAACAGATCTACAGTTGGCCACAGTTCAATCTTATCTAAGAAAGGCACTGTATAATCAAGAAGACTCAAGCAACTGAAGGAGTAACAAAAATCACATCTGAGAAATAAAGAACATTGAAGAGCTCATAATGGAACCTAAAACTGATCTGATGAAGAAGAACGCCAAAAACTCTTGAATGAAGGACACCAAGAAACTTGGCAAGATATGTTTTCTTCTGAAAAAGAGGATTAATGCCGATATCTGCTATTAAACATCTTTTGAAGTGGGAGGATGTCAGAACAATGGTCTTAGAATGGCATCCAAACCAGGTTGAGGTTAATAGGCTTAGGGATTTCTACAATGACAATGCTATTAATTACTTCTGAAAAATCTTGAAGAAGAGAGAAAAGCAATCAACATTAGACAGATTCTTTAACCCCCCACAAATGGAAAAAACATGACTAATAAAAATGCAAGACTGTGTATATATGTATTTTTATTTTTATATATATAAATAAACGTAGTAAGAAAGTATATATTTTTTATGTTTTGGGGTCTCCAGAATGAATTAATCAAATTCCCATAAAAACCTATGGTAAATAGATAATTGGTTAATGCACAATTCGGATAGCAAACAGTCTTGGAACGGATTATGTTCATTAAACGATCACCCACTGTACATGATTATTTCTAAAATCAGAAATTGTTTATTGATTTCTAATGTTCATGATAATCTTATAAATAAAAGGGAAATTTTGTTTGTCTGTCTATTTGTTTCTTTACAGCAGTATTGTATGTATGAGAAGCCTTTTAGACACATTTATGTTTGGATTTGCAATATCATCAAATTTTTTCTTTTTTCTCTCGACTTTTTTGGGAAATTTAGTATTCTATTTATTTATGTACTTTCCTATGAACCCATTCTGTCATATTTTATAGAAAAATTCAAGAAAGCCCACAAATTTCTTTTGAATGACCATAAAAAGTTCATTTTAGCAAACAAATCTGTGTTGTCACCTGCAGATCAATCCACCATTGAAAACATCAAAACACATTCCATTACTTCCATTTTGGAAATAATAAATTAATAAAACAGTTTAATTATTAAGAATCTGTGATCTAAATAATGATATGCAACTGGCTAAAATCAGCTGTGGTGTCATTACTATTTAATCAGTGTGTTTTCACTCAAATACCAATAATTTAGTTTATCACTTCTGATACAAAACTTAATCATGTTTCTCACAATGAGATTTATACCTTTAGCATAATGTTTTCTCTTAAGATCAAAAGTTAGTTTACTACCTGATGTACCCATCAAAACACATTTTGATGGAAACATTTGACACATTTATATCAGGTAGCAGGAAATGTGTTAAATTATAATATTTAGAAGAGCTTTTTATCATAATCTTGCAAAATGACATATACTAAATATTATAATTTTACTTTTGAAGTTTTAGATAAATTATATAGACGTCAATTTCATAAAGTTAATTAATTTTTATGTTTTAAATATATAAATTATATTTGTGTTATATTTGATGTAGGGTGCTAAACAAAAGATGGAGCAGCTCACTAAGAAAGGAAAGTCGCTGTTGGAACTTCGGAAGTTGCGCAAATTCGAATATGATTTCGACATTCCGCAGTTTGCCGACAAGGCTCAGGAAATTTACGTGGAAGCTCACAAGGCTCTGGCAGAGTAATGTTTGTTATTTCTTTATTGAATACCTGCTAAATAAATAATAGATTATCTTATGGATTTGTAAGTAGAATTTATCTGCATGTTTTGAATTAAAATCAATAGAATTTTCAATTTTAAATATGTCCTTTTAACAGTGGCGTGCCGTCATTAGAAGCGTTGGAAGCGCCGCTTCCCTCGTATTCTCTAAAAAATAAATAAATATTAATTTTAATTATATGAAAATAATCTCACAATATTTTATTATAACCTCATTATGTATCTTATTACAAATTTCTATACTACACGTGAAAAAAAAAATTGCTATTGTATATTAGAATATTAGTGGCAGAGTGGAATCTCCTGTATTTTCAGATTACGAAAAGCCAGATTTGCGCATGCGCTTTACAGAGCACCAGCCTCACCCGGTTTAGCCGGTGGAAGTCTACGACCTTGAGTAAAAGCTGCACACATATAAAGATTCCAATTCTATCAAGGACTGGTTCTGGGCTGTTAGCCGCCTGCCCACTAGATATTTCGATTACGTGAATAACGAGTAGATTTATAACTTAACCCAACCGATAAGAATTTACTGGTATGTTTTTACGATAGTTCTGTATAGTTGACAGGAGTTTAAAAAATCCATTAAAATATTTGATATATTTATTCCGCTCTCCGATTTTATATTACTCACGGATTTCGATGTTAAACCAGTGATATTACGATTTCGTACATCCCATCTTTAAGGGGATGTAGAAAAAAACGTGTACAATTCTTGTATAATGTTAAAAAATTAACCGTTACTTCGACAGCGTCATTTACAACTAAATTTAATGAATGAGAGAGATGCACCAGGTACAGAAAAGGCTCTAGAATTTATTTTCCTTAAATTTACGATTTATGTATCCGTTGTCGTAAAAATTTGTCTTTCCACTTTTTTCCCGAGACTACAAATATTCGAGTACAAAGTAACTGGTTTCGACTTATTTCTACTTAAGAAGTAGTTAAATAATTAAGCGATTAGGGAATTGGGGACGTAAACAAAACCCTGATGAAAGAGCCGGAATTTTACTTAAACAAAAGCCTAACCGGACCAATATCTAGCCGAGTACAGTGGGACTGATTTCTTCGTAATATTAGATGTAATAAAGACAGAAATTTTTCCAGTTCAATGAAAGTGAGTAAAAGTTGTAAATTTTGGAAATTTCCGTGGACACCTGGTCTTAAAACGAATTACAGTAGTTAGAAAACAAATGACTTTTAAGTTTAACAAATTTAGATTTTTACAGCTATGATGAGAAACGTTTAAAATTTACAACAACCCTGTCGCGTCCTTTGAGATATACTAGTGATGAGACAAAAGAGACATTAACCGGTATCGGCACCCTCGGGATTTGGCAAGCATGCACCGCACCGCACACCTACCAAGACCGTCTCTGATTCCATCCACGAGCCACTGGTAGGGAGCAATTTTAACTAGGTGGATTGTTTTAATATTTAAAAAGTAAAGACTATTTTATGTTATTTTTATGTACGTTTCTTCACAAAACTATATTTATAATTTTCTTTAAAAGTATATTCATACAATTGAATATTTTGTACCAGGTATGTATAATTGTATATCATCACACATTTTATTTTAACAAGTAAGTTTTTATAATTTTATTTTTAATTTTAGCCCTTATATTATAGCTAGCAATTTAGAATGTAATTGTGATATCGAAAATTTATTTCAAAAAGTTTTGGCTCGAGACCATATAATGAAAAAGAAAAAATTTGTTCGACATTTTCATGATAAAATTTATGAAGATATAAAATGGCTTTGTGGATGCATAAAAATGCAAAATTTGTTTTGTTGGCCTTGCCTACTATTTTCAAATAAAATTAGTGTGTAGAATGAGATTGGCTTTGACGATTTAAATAATTTGAGTAAAGCTGGCAAAAGACACGAAAATCCTAAATCTCGCATCGATTCTTTCGTAAAATTGAAGCAATTTGGAAATCAAAATAGAATAGAATTTAACATTAGTACACAATATAAAATATATATTGAAAATTATAACAAGATAGTTACGGCTAATAGATATATTTTAATTAGTAGATGTTATCGAAGCGAGAATTGGCATTTAGAGGGCGTATAGAATCTATTAAATCTAATATAAGAGAGTTAATTATATTGAACTTGCTTATTTATTAAGTGCGTTAGATAATCTATTAATTAAAAATACATTTAGAGAAGTCTACGGTTTTTACTGGCTTATCGAACAAACGAATACGAATGGACCCTAGACCATTGCTGACTGATTGCCCCTGGAAGTCGGCTTCTTATAGAAACACAGCTTCCCTATCATCAAATGTCACGGCACGCCACTGCCTTTTAAATGCATAGTCTTTATGATGGTAATTTAATGAGCTAAGAAATAGCAGAAACAAGAAATCAAATTTTATAAATTGGAAACAATTTTAGGATTTGCTGTTCCTATCTTTAAATTAAAACATAAAGTACAAAAGTAAAACATCAATTTCAGAATTATTATAATTTAAAATTTAAAATTTCTGTAGTTTTTTAATTTCATAAAAATGCTTTTAACAAAATCAAATGATTTTTAAATTAAGAGCATATCATAGATTAAATGTTAGACACCTGAATGGTCAAGTCATCAGTCTCTTGCATCAGGGACCCAGATCAAATCTGGATGAGCAAGCCCAGAAATTTTTGTGGGTGGTTCATCCCATCCCGCACCACCCAATTTGACTTCATTGTGGGTCTGGTTGAACCCCTGATGGGCATGAGAAAAGGCTCTTTTAGTTTTCGTAGAGCAGAAAGTATCAAAAGAAAAAAAAACCAGATCAAAAATTAAACATTGATATAAGCATTCAATAAATTACTATAATGAATTTGCAGATCATCCTACATGAATTGATGAAAGTATGGCTCTTAGGAAAAAATTTGGATGATATGATTTACAGAATTTAGAATGTTTCTGCTCATAAATTCACTATAGAATAATTAGATTTTGAGGTTTGGTCTAAACAGTTTTCTTAAATCTTCATTTATAAAGTCTAGTTATAAATAGATGCTGCCCAATAAACTTACTCAAATTATAGAATTCCTAATTGTAGTTAATTCATATAATTGGTGGATAAAAACACTAAAGTATACAATAGAGTAAACAAAAATACTTAGATATACTCAATTCAGTTTTGAAGTTAGAAAAATATATTTGAGTTTATAAAACATTGAAACAATTTAATATATGGGGAAGACCTATTAATCAGATATAAGTTATATTACAAAACATCAAATATAATACAATAATGATATCTAATTGAACCTAACTCCAGTCTTCTAATCTAGGATTTTGTAAAGGCAGATGCTGATAGGAGAGAAGATTAATTTGTTGTCAAATTTAATATAATTCAAAGGTAACTTTACAAAACAGTTTGAATGTTTGTTGAAAGTTTAGCAGAACTATTCAATTTGAATAAATCACATATTATACCAGAATCAATACATCACAATGCCTTGCATAGCAATTGGTCTTTGTATTTAGCATAGAAAAATTGGTTGATTTTAATGTCTGATGGAAGCTCTAGATCAGGGGTGTCCAACCTTTTCGTTCCTTTGGGCCACATTGGAAGAAGTCATGGAGTTTTGGGCCACAAGTATAGGCCTATATAATATATTTGTGACCCAATCCTTAAATATACAAGTATATTTAAGGATTAGCAAGGATTATAGTAATAAGTATTAAAACTTTATCACGAAAAAGGATATTTTAAAAATTTACTTCTACAGACTCTTCCAATTTTTACTTAGAATTAAATAAATTCATCTATTATAAAGGAAACAGACAAAAATTTACTTGAAAAACACAAATATTTGTTCTATTCTGGTCTCTAATTAATAAAAAACGACAAAACACCATTTTAAAGTGCATTTTTATTCGACTAATATACTGTATTTATAAATAATATGTAACCTAGAAAGTAGCCAATGCGCAAAATGATAATTTTTACGCCAAACTAAAAAAAGGGTAGCCAAATTTGTCGCAGAGTAGCCAAATCTTGCAATGCTGGAAAGAATATTAAATAATGCTGGAGTTGGAACTTAAAGGATTATAGACCAAAATTTGAGAAAAAGTAGAGAAAGGCCGAAAGATAAAAGTAGTGAGGAAGATCGGAAAATTAAAGTCGATATTTGCATAACAAAAGTCTATTTAACCTTTTTCACCACTTTTTTTCTTTTGGCCTTTCTCTCCTTTTTTCAAATTTGGGTCTATACTCCTTTGAGTCACAACTTCAGCTTTATTCAGTATTTCTTCGTCATTCACACATCTCCAGGTATTTGAAAATATTTCCTTTTCGCTCAAAAATTAAATATGTATAAAAGTTTACGGCTTTGTGAAACTTCTTTTTTGAGTTTATGCNCCACAAGTATAGGCCTATATAATATATTTGTGACCCAATCCTTAAATATACAAGTATATTTAAGGATTAGCAAGGATTATAGTAATAAGTATTAAAACTTTATCACGAAAAAGGATATTTTAAAAATTTACTTCTACAGACTCTTCCAATTTTTACTTAGAATTAAATAAATTCATCTATTATAAAGGAAACAGACAAAAATTTACTTGAAAAACACAAATATTTGTTCTATTCTGGTCTCTAATTAATAAAAAACGACAAAACACCATTTTAAAGTGCATTTTTATTCGACTAATATACTGTATTTATAAATAATATGTAACCTAGAAAGTAGCCAATGCGCAAAATGATAATTTTTACGCCAAACTAAAAAAAGGGTAGCCAAATTTGTCGCAGAGTAGCCAAATCTTGCAATGCTGGAATATTAAATAATGCTGGAGTTGGAACTTAAAGGATTATAGACCCAAATTTGAGAAAAAGTAGAGAAAGGCCGAAAGATAAAAGTAGTGAGGAAGATTGGAAAATTAAAGCCGATATTTGCATAACAAAAGTCTATTTAACCTTTTACACCACTTTTTTTCTTTTGGCCTTTCTCTCCTTTTTTCAAATTTGGGTCTATACTCCTTTGAGTCACAACTTCAGCTTTATTCAGTATTTCTTCGTCATTCACACATCTCCAGGTATTTGAAAATATTTCCTTTTCGCTCAAAAATTAAATATGTATAAAAGTTTACGGCTTTGTGAAACTTCTTTTTTGAGTTTATGCCATCGAAATAAATAAATAAAACAAAAATAAAACAATTTTTTGGTTTTGTTTACACGTTTATTGGGCCGCATTGGAACTTGCCTTGGGCCGCATGCGGCCCGCGGGCCGCGGGTTGGACACCCCTGCTCTAGATGGACCATACTTACCTCTCCTAGATATGCTCTTGTCCCAGAACTCTGCTTATCAAGTTAATGTGGCTTAGCAGTGCTAACAGATCTTACAAGTTTTGTCAATAACTACTATACTAGGATTAATTTGGCTGGAAGAATATTATGATGATGAAGTCAGTAGTTCGGTTCTGTCATTCATCACTTTTCTTTTATATGTCTCTAATATTTTGGTAATATAATTCATGCAGAGGTGTTTTTCTTGGAGTTATATTGATATATCTTTTGATCTAAATATGTATGGCTTATAAATTACAAAAATGCATGAATACTTTTAATTATCAAAGCTGTGTCAAAATGTTTCCAAAACAATATAATTTAAGCATTTCTCAATAATTACAATGAAACACTAAAAATTTGATTGTATTTTTTTATGTCTAATATATTTTTATAACAATCAATTTAAATTTTAATATTTATTATATATATTTTTAACAATTTAGGAAAGATGAAGATAAACTACACGAGTTAGTCACCGAAAAGTGTTACCCGGTATTATTTGTTTTAAAAAGTAGCAATATGTTTCTAATATTGCTTATTTCTTACAGAAAAATACATTTATTTTGTAGGAAATGATGCACCATGCAGAAAACAAGACCATCCGTTGGAAGTTGGTTCAGTCGCTAGAACCTCCAAGGGTCGTCCACATTCGATGCATGGATCTAATCACAAAAGAAAATATGTTTGCTCAACTAACGGTTCGATTCCATACTCAGCAAGTAAGTTATATTAGATTTATCTTCTTGGGTATTATTAAGTGTTATAAGTTTTGAAAATTTGAGTCTTTTCCTCGTGCCATTTCTAGACTTTAGCAGTTTATGATCGTTTTGGGCGTCTGTTGTACGGCAGCGAACATTTGCTAAAAGACGTACTGGAATACGTGGTATACGAGAAGCATCTTTCGAATCAGTACGGACTGTGGAGGATTCACGGAAAAATAATTCCTAACTGGCTGCCGCCCAAAGAACCAGCTTTGAGAACTATTAGAAAACCAAATAAACAAAAACCAAATGTTTCCAAAAAAATTATAACTCCAAATCCAACTGAAACTGTAAGTGAGCCAGCCAGTCTGTAATTAAAATAAAGTATGTTTGTATTGAATAGGAAAAAAATTTGGACTCAACACATATGTTTTGCCATTTTAATGAGCAAAATACTAAATTAGAAAACAAAGATACTACTGATAGTACTAGTGATATTATTTGTATATAATAATTAAAATAAATTTTTCAAATTATCTTTTAAAATTAAAAAGATTTTATTATATAATGGTAGTTGACCAGCTAGATGCCATTTCAAGAGCCATACTTAAGTCCTTAGATTTAATGTTGGCAAAGGTTGGCCAGATGTATCAGTTAAGTTTATATATAAAACCCTTGAGAATTTTTCAAGGGTGGTCTGTCCCAGATATATTGGGGCCACTTCCCAACCCTTTACAACTATCCCATTGTGAGCTCAGCCAAGCTCACAATGGTACTCTTAGTGCCCACAGAGTAAAAGTAAAAATATGTTGGCAAGGAAAGAATTGTAGAATTATACATAATTCTACTATTCTTTTTATGATTCTTACTAATATCAAGCTTCTAAGTATAGTCTTGAAGATGTATATATCAATATATATATAGAAGCATGTGTTTATGTATGTTTATATGCTATACATATATACATTAAAATGTGAAACAAGACATTAAACATTATGAATGGATAATTAATGTGGCATTATGATGTTGAAGGCATCAAAAAGCTATATACTGCTTACTTAGACATAAATATATCAGATATAACCATTCTATTCATTCTTTTATAATATTTTAATAATTTTTACAAGAATACAATGATGTTACTTACACTTTTTATTTAAAATATGAATGGTTGGATGTTTCTTGCCAGCCATACATGACTCTTAAGCTGCACTTTGGCCATCATTGTTATATAATATCAAACATTGCATACATTAAAATAGATCATTTCAGACAATACTAGCATCTGCAATTATTTTGATTGACAATTGCTTGTATATGGTTGTGTGTTCATAAGTTTAGGTATAGTATTCAATATTGTTCCACTCTGTATTCATTTTTATCATCACTGTATTATTTGTAATATGATAATGCTTGTTAACTGGAACTTATGGACGTGTTCAAGATAGTAGTCAACTGCATGGATACAAGTTGCTTTGTGGGTTTTAGCACAAATAAGTTGTGTTCAAAGAACTAACTACGTAATTAAATTTTCTGTAAACCATCTGTTTGAATTGAAACCAAAAATTTAGATTATTTTTGTTTTAAAAAAATAAAGAATTATTTAAAAATTTTACAATGAAATGGGGTAATTTAGTAGGTCAAAAATCCATCAACAAAACTGGTCTCTTACTTTTAGGAGTGCTGAATTTAATGCTGCAGCAATCTCAATGGTCAGGATCAAAAGTAAAGTAAGTCTCTCATGATAAGTTGTTGATCGGAGGTAGATCTTCATCAGTTTTAACACTGAAAATGATCGTTCAGTAGATGTAACAGCTACTTGTACAGTACAATTATATTTTCAATAATTACCAATTTGATGATTTAAATACTAAAATATACTACCAAGTTTGTGAGGGCCTAGGCGTCATCTTTTTCCCCTTTATGTAGGGCTGCTTCTAAACTGAGGTTATGCCTTGACGTTCGGTATGCAATGTACCAATACAATTAGCTTTTAATAATCGATAATTTTGCAGCCAATTTAATTATCAATTTTCATCAAAACTTTTAATATCAAGTTCAAAAACTACAAATCGTTACGCAGTCCCAATTCACATTTTTCAAAGTACAATAGCATTTAAAATGGATAAAGTGGGTAACAAAAAATACAAAACAGTCATTTGGCAAGACAAATGATACCACCATCAATCCATTACATTTGTCAAATGGTGGGCCAACATAGTACACATGCCCATGTCATACCGAACGGATCGAGAGACCCGGGAAATTTTTGCAGGCAGTCAGTCCTGATACGTCGGGCCTGTCCTTCACTACCTGGCCACCCCATTGTAGTCTGGCCAAATCCACAATGGGCTTGATAAACAGAAGCCCTTTTTTTAGCAAGCCCATTAATTCATCTAGAGCACGGGTTCCCAACCTATGGGTCGCGACGGGTTTTCTGTGGGGTCGCCAACTTATGCAGTAAACTAAAACAAAATTTTCACTATAATGAAATATTTATTTTTAATGGTGTCTTAAAGTTCGAATAATTTCATATATTTTTAAAAAATTAAAATAAGTGAATCTGGGTACGCTATTCTGTCACAGTTGGTTGAATCATGTGTTGAGAGTTTTGAGAGGAATAAATTAAATGTTGAGAATGACATGAGGTTGGCGTTAACAAAATCTCACCCGCGAATTTTGAGGCTGGTTAATAATACATGCAATTTCAACCATCTCATTAAATTAATTATTAAACATAATTTAAAATAAAATTATACTAAAAAACTAATTTCATTGTTTTTTAATTACCTTATTAAAAATACCTTTTTCAATTGTATCGGGGTTGTGGGTCACTTGGCTTTTATAAAAAGGGGGTCGCCACACAAAAAAGGTTGGGAACCGTTGATCTAGAGGTAATAATTCATATTTGGTTTTATGTATCTCACGAAGAATTTTATTTTCCTAACAACGACTATGTTTAATATTGAGTGGAGCAAGCAAACCTCATAAATGTCATTCGATTTAAACTCCTCCGAAACCATTCAACCAGTCTCCACAAAATTTGGAGACGTCGCGTCTGGATCTTGAGCATCGTAAGCTATTTGGAATCCCAATCAGATCATGTTCTTGAAGAACATCGTGGGAAAACTGCCATAGCCTTAAGCCGGGTTTTTGGAAGCTTACAAAGGGCAAGCTACTGTTCCAAGCAGCCGAGTTGCTTTGCTTCGCCAACTTACAGGCCGAAACCGACAATACAAGAAGTTTTCAAAGTTTTATATGGCAGAAAGTAAAGTAAGATGCAGCGTCTTCCGACTTTAGCCACATCGGTGGCGATTGTTCTCCAAAGAATCAAAAGTTATCCTGCTGCCTCAAACTAGACTCTGCTTCCAACACTTGGAAATGGTAACACTGTCTTGACAAATTTAATTGGAATCCCAGAAATTAGTGTATTTCTTCTATTGGTTATCATTGTTAGTATTAATATATGTGTTTATCTGTGGGCAACTTTAAATTTACTTTGTATTAATCAATTTGTTATAATTTTAATGTTCATAAACCTGTTATTGCAAAAGCTCTATTAAAATACTAATGATTCTATAAGCTTACAAACACATACACAAGTAGAAAATAATTCGATTGATACAGTGGAGTCTTTCGAGATGGTTGACTCGTGAGATATGCTCCCTTATCGGAAGTAACAAGATCACCAGGAGGTTGTTAATGATTTTCTGCAAACAAGTGAAAGTAATGTGACTATCAACATGTGACATTTGGTTCTGTGAAGAAGTGAAAATCGTGTGACTAGTATTTGTGGATTATTCAATAGAACAATAAAAGTGGTGATACCATAATGGAAAACGATACGTAAATACGATAAAATTATGTGATAACGAGCAATTGTTTATTGCGATATCGTCACAGTGCCGTGCTACGATTTTTAATCATATTTTTAAAATTTATTTAATTTAAAATATATGCTCTCCACCTCAAATTTGTAGTGGCTTGCCCCTATACATTATACTTTTCCATAAGTAATGGAGTCGTGCAGGTCATCTATCTAGGTCCTCAATTGAATAATTATTGCTTTTAGCCTTTAATGAAGTTTTATTTAAAGTCTATATTAATTTATATAAAAAGAAACTGTGTAAAAAAGATTTTGGATTGAACTACATTAGATGATAAAAATAAATAAAATAATTGATGTTAATTAAAATGTTTTTATTAAATAAATACCCATCTGTATAGGTGAAACAGGTTGGTAAGAATTCATTGACAAAAACAGAAATAAATTGAAAATTAATGACGTAACAATAAGCGCGGTATTAATATGCAAATTTGTAGTCGTAGCTTATGCTGCGGCAGTGCATATCTGTGTTAGTTGGATCAGCAGTTTCAAATAAAGTCCCTTTGTAAGTACTTATTCGTCACTTTACATTTATAACATTAATTATAGAAATGATAATTGTTTTATATTATATTAGTGTTCTCGGTGGCTAAAGAAATAGTAGAGAAAGTGATGGTATTGAAAGTTTTACACTTGATAAACATCACCCGTGACAATTGTGTTGTCATTTTTAACTCGGCTCTTTAATGTTTATTTTTATTATTTATATAATGTTACAGTTTATTTTTATATTTTATATAAATTTACAATTTGTTATTTATATAATTTATGAACACTAACAGAAGAGGGGCGTATAGTCTGAAATGCATTTTAAGTGTTCGGTGTAATATATTATCATTTAAAGATTTTGTAATTAACCTGTTCACCGGTTGATAAGCCCTCGTGTATATGTGTGTGTAATTAATATAGACTTTAAATATCAAGAACCTTTCGGGGGAAAATCTTTTGAATTGAAACAACGTGACTTCCGGTTTCGTCGGAAGTTCGTATATATTAATCGGGACCTCCTGCCCCTAATCTTTCCATATCTGGTCTCGGCTTTCATCTGTCTAACTCCGTTCTCGAGATTGTCGTCCGTCTGTCCGTCCTTCCTCAATGGTCATTCTAAGTCTCCAATTTTTTTAAAATTGCAGCTTCAGTGACTTTCGCGACTTTCGTTTGTAGCGTCATGAACATCGATCACGCATATTGATGGACCGACTCGTTAGTAAATCGCTTAACTCGTGCGAATTTATGAACGGATCCGAGTTCACACGATCCGGTTTGCAAGTCACGTAATTTAGTGATAACTTCCAACGCGCAATGTATTCGGTGATTCGCATATATTAAATTTGCAGCAATCGATTACGAAGTGTTCGGTTCGAATCCCCAATATATTGGCCCGTCGGTGGCCAAGCGGTTCAGTTTCCCGAACACTGGAAGTTCGGGACGGGCTGGCCGCGTGGAGTTTTCCGGATTTTCTCCACGTCTGTAACGCCCGAATAGGGACCAGTGACCCTGAAAAAGACCTCTCG